GGCAGAACGCCGTCCGGTCTCCGACCAGCGTCCATCCTTTAGGACCATCTGACTTGATAATTTTGAGGCATGAATCGGAATCGAAGCTGGGATTAAACGCAATAAAATCTCCCGAGGAAGAGAAGGGAATGAGCCAAAATGATTGAGGGATAACAAAGTACGTGGAGGAGATTGAATATCATGAAACACTTGGAAGCCATATTGTAAACTTCTCTCCTCAAGCCACGGAGTCCGCATCTACCGGCAATTCGTTGTTGTTCATGAAACGGTGACGGAGGCCCTGGTATTTCTCACTTGCTAAGATAGGTAATGGCCAGAATTAGCAAAGAGCATTCCACATTTAATAATGCTGAGCTTGCCATTAAAGGGGGGAAGAAGACGATTTGATCTAGCTAAAGACGAAGACGATGAGAATAAAGAAGAAGAAGAATAAGGGGAAATATTTTTTTTATTTTAAATTTATGCCTGATGTGGCAATCCAAATAATTAAAAACACAGCTTATGTGGCGAGCTATGATGGCAGTTACCGACACTTGTCGGGGAGGTAACCGGCTAATGGGGTCGGATGACTCAAAATCATTAGTTCATATGTTCAATTGCACTTTTACAAAGTTCATGGGGCTAATTGACTTTTCGCGAAATGTTCAATGGCCTATTTGACCCTTTTCTCGGTAAAAAATGATAGTGTTTTATATTACGTGTCAACTAGTGGATTATCTTTAACGTGCATTATCATGTACTATATTCAACATATTTGTTCTATATATAAAATTTAACATTAATGTATGTGCACAAATACTAAACTGAATTTACATCATATGTATTTTCATTCGCGTTATAATATATGTTCATAATGTTCATTCTATATATTCATAAAAACAAAGTTCAATGTACATAAACAATAAATTGTAGGTACATACTACATAATAATATACATTTTTAATTCACTATGCAGTATATATGTTAATAATGTTCCTTCTATATATAGACTATATAGTTCATGTTAATACATTTTCATTAACACTAAATTTGTCAACTATGTTATTAAAAAAAAATTGCTTAATGTACATAAACATTAAATTAAAGCAAATAGTTTATGTATCTATTGATTTATTTTTTTTCTTTAAAAAAAAACAATCATTTTCTTCTTAAAAAAAAAATAGTCATTTAAAAGATTTCAGTTAACAGATTTTAATGATTTTTTTATAATTAATTTTATTTGTATTAAAAGGTAAATAAATATAAATATAAATTTAAAGAGAAAAAATAGGTATAGGTTCAGTGCACGTAACAACATGCACACTGGTCGACAATAGAGTCGGCCCGTATGGGCTGACCCGTCTCGGGTTATGCGGCACACGGGCCGGGTCGGGGTCGGCTTATTTTTACACGGGTTGGGATTTACAGCCCAACCCGTGTAGTGACGGGCTAGTGGGTCAAACGGGCCAGCCCGCAAAACCGTCCAAAAAAATAAATTATAAAAAATATTATTTATTAATTTATTATTCACACACATATCTATTTATCTAATATTCTAATTTCTAACACACAAAATTACTATTTATATTCAAAGATTTCAACAAAAAAAAATCAACATTCAAAGTTTTCAAGTCCCATATTCCATACTCCGTACTCCATAGTTCCATATTCCATATGAGAGACCGGAGCTTAGCGGTTGCAATCTTGCAGAGACGCTGAGAGCTTGAGACGCAGACGGCGCAGGTCGGAACTCGGAAGACAGAAGTCGCCAGTCGCTGGTTTGCCTGGTCGAGGTTGCCGGCGAATGTCTTCGGCCTGGCTCCCTTCTTCGCGCAATCGGACTTCACAGTTCGCACTTCGCATCTTCGCAGAGAACATCGGCAAAGAACTAGGGAATTGAGTTTGTGTGTGGTGTGTGTAGAGAAAAATCAGAGAATAAATTTAGTATTTAGACTTAGGGGTTTTTTTTATTAACAAAAAAAAAAAAAAAAAAAAAAAAGAGGCCAGCCCGTATAACCTGCGGGTTACAAAGGCTTAGCCCGTTTAACCCAGATAAAATGAGCCGGGTTGGGATTTCTCCCACCCAACCCACCTAAAATCTGGGCTAAACGGGCCAACCCCGCACAATGGGCATGTTTTGACAATATTACTATTGTAAAAAAGAAAAAACCATGCAGCTAGTTCACAATAGAACTATTAGGAAAAAAGAATTAGATTGCATATATCCAGTCGTCAATCATTATTGTGTGGAACATGGTCCATACAAGTTGTATGGACCATATTTTGTATACTATAAAATAATGTATATTCAGTACAAAAATAATCTACATTCAGCACAAAAATAATGTACATTGTATTCAAGGGATTTGCATTATTTTTGTACTGAGTGTACATTATATTGTATAATGTACACTCATTACAAATATAATGTATATTCAGTACAAAAATAATATACTTTTTGTTATGGTCCATATAACATTGTGTGGACCATGGTCCACACAATAATATGCCTCCAATGGATCCGTGTCCACATTGTAAGGTCGACACGATTCTATGTTCATAATTACTGAACTATATGTTCATAATTATAAAACTATATATTCATAATTTTTTAACTTCATATTCATAATTATTGAACTCTATATTCACAATTACATAACTCTATTTTCATAATTACTGAACTATATGTTCATAATTATAAAGCTATATATTCATAATTTTTGAACTTCATATTCACAATTATTGAATCTCTATATTCATAATTATAGAATTATATGTTCACAACTCTATGTTCATAATTATAGAACTATATGTTCATAATTTTTGAACTCTATATTTATAATTATGAACAGTTTTAAAATCGTGTTCCACAGCATAATTTGCCGCGTATATCCATTCAACCCCATAAACAAGTTAGACTCTCTTTTTTCTTTCTTTTTTTTTTTTTAATTTTTTCTTTTTAATTTTCTAACCCATTTAGTACTCAACTACTCAACTTTGTTGTTTTCCTGAGTTCCACATCTATTGTTTATTTGTTTTTGGGAAAAAGGGTCAAATACACCCTCAAACATTATGTGAGAAGTCAATTAGACCCCCGAACTTTTGAAAATTGCAATTAGACACATTAACTTATTAATTTAGTGCATCAAGACCCAAAAACCTAATAATGACCTGCAATAGCAGGTCAATAATGCATAGGCAGAGGTCCGACGACCTTTCGGGAAAATCCGGCGACGGGGCGACCAGCAAGTCGCCGGAAAAGGCGACAGAAGAATTTCTAAGGCTATCGGGGCAGTTGTTGCGGCGATTTCTGTTATGCGTGTGGCATTGAGTCCTCCGGTGTAACAGTGACTCTGTTCTTAGTTGTGCGATTTTCTGGTTCGGCGCAACATATTTCGAGACGTAGCTCTGATCGGCAACCATTAATTTGGCATCATCAGTAATCCACTTTGACGAGCAGTAGCGAATTGAATTCTTCAAATTGGAATCAATTTTGGACATCGGCTAATTCTTTCTGGTCCTCTTCCTTTTAAATATTGTTCTTTAGATTAATTTGCATTATATTGCACTTTGTTTAATTGTTAGTACTGATATGAACCAACTAACAAAATCCATTGAAGAAAAATCTAGGCAAGCAATCCAAATTCAACATAATAGTGCTGATAAAACAATGAAGGAAAAGGCAAATTAAAACAATGGAAGAAAAAGTCAAGAATTTTTGCCCAGATTTGTTCGCAAGAAACAATTCGATGCTGCTAAAATTAAACAAGAATCCAGAACACACTGCCACCCAGATTGTTAGCCGCCGACTGGAATTAGCTGCTACAAGACCAAAATTCGCGAGAAGAAAATTGTTGTACGCAGAACAACGCCGCTGGACGGAACCTACCACGAAATTGATACCGGAGAAATTTCGCCCAATTGATCGGAATTTTTCCATAATCGCTAACCAGTCGCCTTTTCCGGTGACTTGCTAGTCGCGTCATTGCCGGATTTTCCCCAAAGCTCGCCGGAGCTCTGTCTGTGCATTATTGACCTGCTATTGTAGGTCATTATTAGGTTTTTGGGTCTTGATGCACTAAATTAATATGTTGATGTGTCTAATTGTAACTTTCCAAAGTTCGGGGGCCTAATTGACTTCTCATATGAAGTTCGAGGGTGTATTTGACCCTTTTTCCTTTGTTTTTTATTCTACCGTTTTCCATCTCAGCCGATTCTTGACACAATCTAAACTTGGATTGTAATTGCAATTTAAACATGAAAATGAATTGCTGAAAATTAATGATATATAAGGAAGAAAAATTGAGAGAATTTTTTTTTTTTTTATAAGGAAGGGGATACCCTACATATACACAATATTGTCTCAACTAAGGTTCAAACCTTACACCTCCCACTTAAGGGAGCAACCTGATACCAGTGGACTACAAGTCACTTGGTAAAATTGAGAGAATTTGATTAGAAGAAACTATACGGTTTGCACGGAGAGTTATACCATGGACTAAGGTCCACCTTGCAAGGTGGATTCTGATCCTAAATTATGTATTTTTAATATTGAAATTATGAACATCTTGAATATAAATTGTGTTTTTAAGTCAAAACACATAACAGCTGTAGAATTTTAAAATTTAAATACAATATAAAGTAATCAAATTCTAATTTGTTAATATTGTGTTACTCCAGTATTAAAAAATAACTTGTGAATAAAAAACAAGATAATCAATTACACATATGTTAACATTGTGTGTTCATAATATAAATATTGTAAATTTTTAAAAGGTAAATTGAGATCGGAGTATACCTTGCAAGTTGGAACTGAGTCTACAAAATAATTTGCGTTGCACTGACGACTAGGTCAAGTGAAAAAGAAAGAAATACAAAATTCCAAAGTATTTTATAGCCCATTACTTACGCAACGTTAAGTCTTGAGAAGACTTGTCATGACTAGTTGACTACTGATAGTGCCAGTGCTGCCACTTATACAAATAGGGGTACATTATTATTGTGCGAGAGAAGCTAGAAATTAAACATAGTGATATGATGGCCACTTCCCAAATGCTTTATTTTGCAATTCATACTCTTCTTCTGTTTTCACTTTCTTTGGAGATTGCAACATCACAAAGAACAGAGGGAAGAGCCCTTCTGAAGTGGAAGAACACTTTATTCAATACCGATGTTCTTCATTCATGGTCCATTGCAAATCTTGACAGTATTTGCTGGAATTGGACTGGCATCACTTGCAACAATGCTGGAGCTATTCATATGATAGAGCTGGATAATTCTAGCCTTTCAGGTACACTTGAAACCCTTGATTTCATTTCATTACCTAACCTCACCCGGTTTAGTCTCCATTATAATAGTTTCACTGGACCAATTCCATACGCTATTGCTAACCTTTCCCAGCTAGTGTTCTTGGACCTCAGTTTTAACCGTTTTATAAATTTTATACCAACCGAGATTGGAAGATTAACAAATCTTCAGTTCTTGAACCTTGGCTTTAACAATCTCGGTGGTATTATTCCCTCCCAACTAAGCCACCTTCAACACCTTACTTCACTTTCCTTATCTTTCAATTCTTTCACCGGCCAAATTGCACATGCAACATTCTCTAATATGAGCAAGCTTCAAACTTTTGATTGTAGGGGAAATGTTTTCCATGGCCCAATTCCAACAAGTTTAACCAAGCTATCCAAGCTTAAACAACTTGACCTACGTGCCAACCATTTCTATGGCTTAATACCTCCTACAATTGGAAATCTAAGCTCACTAATTAATCTTCATCTAAGCTCCAACATGCTGCAAGGGAATATTCCTGAAGCACTATGCAATCTTCACTCCCTTGACACTCTTTATTTATTCAACAATAATTTTAGTGGTCCAATTCCTCAATGCCTTGGAAATATAACCTCACTAAGGCATCTTTCTCTAGATTCCAATGAGATGCATGGGAATATTTATAGAACATTATGCAACTTTCACTCCCTTGAAACCCTTGATTTATATAACAATTGTTTGGGTGATCTAGTTTCACACTGCTTGGGAAATATAACCTCATTAAGACATCTTTCTCTCCATTCCAATGCGGTGCAAGGAAATATTCCTGCAACACTTTGCAATCTTCTCTCCCTTGAAAGTTTGTATTTGTCTTTCAATAGTTTGAGAGATCCATTTCCACAATGCCTGGGGAATATAACCGCATTAAGATATCTTTTTCTTAGTTCCAACAGGGTGCAAGGAAATTTTCCAACAACACTTTGCAATCTTCAATCCCTCGAGGATCTAGAGTTGTCCTTCAATAATTTGGGAGGTTCAGTTCCACAATGCTTGGGAAACATAACCTCACTTAGAACTCTTACTCTCAGCAACAATGTGTTGCAAGGAAATATTCCTAGAACATTATGCACTCTTTGTTCCCTTGAGATTCTTAATTTATATCTCAATAGTTTGGGAGGTTCAATTCCACAATGCTTGGGAAATATAACCTCACTAAGATATCTTTCTCTCAGCTCCAACATGCTCCAAAGAAATATTCCTGATGCCCTATGCAATCTTCGTTCCCTTGAGATTCTTGATTTAACAAACAATAGTTTGGATGGTTCAATTCCACAATGTTTGGGAAAATTAAAAAGTTTGGAAACTTTACTTGTTTCTAAAAACCAGCTTGGAGGCACGGTACTTCCAATTCCAATCCTTAGAAATGACATAAATCAAACAATAAGTTCGAGTTTGATTTATGGCAAAGATACAGGGTTGTGCAGTTTGAGTTCCTTGCAGTTTCTTGATATGTCTGACAACAATTTACATGGTCCGCTACCTATGTGTTTTGAGAGCCTAAGCAGTGAACTTAAGGTTATAAATTTTGCTAGAAATCAAATTCAAGGAACTATTCCAGGAGTATGTACAAATGGAAACAACTTGGAGTATTTCAATTTGAATGGCAATCAATTGGAAGGGCCATTGCCACAAGGCTTGAAGAATTGCAGCAATCTTAAATTTCTAGATCTTGGAAACAATATGTTACATGACTCATTCCCTGATTGGTTAGGTACTCTTTCGGATTTGCGTGTTCTTGTGCTGAGATCTAATCATTTCTATGGTGAAATATGCACTTCAAGCACTGCACATCCATTTCCAAAGCTGCATATATTTGATATCTCACACAATGAGTTCAGTGGTCTTTTGCCAAAATGTTATCTGGAGAACTTTAAAGCCATGCAGGATGAGAATGATGATGAAATATTGTCATCTTATGAAGCTTCAATAAGCCTTGTGTGGAAAGGGGTGGAGCTTCTAGTGGTGCATTTTGATATCTGCATATCTCTTGATTTATCCAATAACCACTTCCATGGTGAGCTTCCAAAATCTTTAGGAAAGCTTCATATCATCCAGTTCCTCAATCTATCACACAACCAGCTCACCGGCTATATTCCATCATCATTACAAAATTTAACCACTCTTGAGGTACTGGACCTGTCATCAAACCACCTAGTGGGTGAGATTCCGGAACAACTTTCAAAATCGTTGACATTTCTAGCTATACTAAATGTTTCTTATAATAATCTTTCTGGTCGTATACCTTGTGGTTCACAGTTTGACACATTTAGCAACAATTCCTATTTGGGTAATGTGGCTTTGTGTGGATTACCACTAACTTTACAATGCCAAGACATGGGTGAAGGGCAAGCACAAGATGTGAATGATTCACAACCTTTTCTGTTTGGATTTGAATGGTGGAGTGTTATTGTTGGATACTGTTGTGGCATACCCTTTGGTCTTACCATTGGATATCTTATATTTAAATATGGAAAACCTCGATGGCTTGTAAGGTTAGTACTTGGGGACTAAAAGTCTAAGTGGTCTACGCAATAAGGGCCGGCCAGATGAAGCAATTCAACAATAATCTTGAAGCAATGTATAGTTTCTCTTATTATATGCTTGTGTTTTTATCTCCTCTAATCGGTTACTGTCGATGGAACGAGATTTTAAAGTGATCAGTCAAACCAACTGATGAGCTAGACCCTGGTGGACATTTTTTTAAAATTTATCAAATAGAAGTGTACATTCTATTATGAATAATGGTTTCTAGTTCACGCGCTATTTTTCATATTATGAATTGAAGATGATGATGCATTGATGCCATGATGGATTGATGGGAACAATTTGGACTCTAATTCTAATTGGAATCTAAGTTGGAAAATGAATTACTATAAATTAATAAAACGGAAAATGATGCTTTTTTCTTATGAATTAATGCTTATTGCGCTTTTTCCTTCTAAATTATTCAATTCATGTATTCATATTAGTTCCTCTCAATTATTTTAAAAGTGGTGATTTTTTTTTTTTATTATCTCTAAATAGACATTTTTACTCTTAACAAATTATCGTTTGTATATGGGAATCCAAATAAATGTAAAAAAAAAAAAAATACATCATTTATGAATATTATAATTATAATTTTAAGCTAATGCTAGTAATAGAATTAAGATTTAAAAACAAATAATTCATTACTACAAATTAATTATAATTATAATATTAATGTTACAAGCATTGACTTAAAATTATAATTATAATACTTACAAATGGTGTCTATTTTTTTTTCATTTATTTTGATTCCCACATATAAGTAGATATGACCGAGGTCCGATTCCCGTTCACGGTTCCGGTTTAAACCGCTAATTTGAACCTTTTTTTTCAAAATTGTATTTCTTTTATTTTTAAATAGTCCAAATTCAATAATTTATTTTATTTTATTTTAATTCTTTTTCCGGTTCGGAACCGGAAACAACCGGTTTCAAACTGAAACCACCCCAATGGTTTCCATTTTGGTTCGGTTTCTACAATGTTCAGTCGGTTCGAACCACCATTTGTTGGAGAAGAAAAATAAATAAAATACTTATTTTAAGGGTAAAAATGTCTATTTAACAAAAAAGGGGAGAAAACCACCACTTTTAAAATAATTGAGGGACTAATGTGACTATAAAATAATTTCGGAAGATAAAACACTATAAACATATAATTCAGAAGAAAAATATGTCATTTTCCCTTGATAAAATTCACAAAAAATAAATTGAATTGACTCATATATAACAAGGAATTTGAGAAAGATTCTTTACATTCCGTCTATACTCTATAATTCATCATCTCACAACTATAGCTATTAAGGGTGGCAATGTGAATAAGTTGACTCATCTTTAGTCTTTAGACTGGGGCTCTATTCTTATAGGTACAACATTAACATCAACACCAACACCAACACGACACCATTAACACTCATCTTTCCACGCGGTTATAAAGAATCCGCAGAAGGGTCAAATAGGCCTATGTACTAACATTGATTGTTCATCTAGCACCATGAATTAAAATATCGTCCATCTAGGCTATTATACTCCCAATTATTTTTCATCAAGCATTTTTAGCAAGTTTCTGACAAGTGAAAAAATAAAATAAAAACAAAATGTTGACATGTTATTTTTTTCATCTAACTTGTTATTTTTGTCACTTTTTTCGGTAGAAAAATTTATTTTTTTTAACGTATTTCCAGATTAAGTTGATTTCTTCTACGAATTTTCCAGAAAATAGTGAATCTATTTTTTCCGTCGGCTGTGAAATAAGTATGTTACCGCTTTTGTGGTTTTTGAACCCATTTATTGGCATTGGTATTGGTTTTGATTTTAGTTTTGGTTTTGGATGGTACGTTTATGAGGCTCTTCAATACACACCTGAAATTGAGGAGCTTGGAAAAAAGCTGGTTAATAGACTAAGGGGCAGCAATGATTTATATATTGCTCTTCATTTGAGGTATAATAACTAACAAGACTTTTGATTTAATGTTTTAGGTGTAACTTAATTAACCGATTTCCTTTAAGTGTATATACGAAAAAGACATGCTTGCGTTTACTGGTTGCAGTCACACTCTGACTGAAGTAGAAACTAAGGAACTTCGCGTTATGAGGTATAATGTGTAACACCCCCTAATTTCCATGCTAAAATAAGTCTTAGACATGCAGATAACTAGTCATAACATCATACACAGCGGAAGACTAAACAGGGAATATACGAATAGGAAATAAAGGGTGCTATGCCACGTCCACTCAAAGGTGAACGCACAGGCGAAACATCTGCATAAATCCACAATCTAAATTCATTCAGAAACAGGAGTACTAATATCTAACATTGGCACACAGGCCACAACGTCTCAAAACAAAGGAATCTAAGCTAACAGGTTCTAGACCGCGCTGTCGTCTACTCATCACCTGAAAGAAACACATAAAATAAGGGACGACGCCCAATCAGCGAATGATGCTGTAACCCACCAATACCTGTTAAGTATCATACATAGATAGGATATATATACAAAATCGTTTGCGAAATGGGATATAGTATATATCAATTCAAAAGCCGAGATAGAGATCAACACAAGACTCTATGTACTCACAACAAAGATAATGGAACACATCCCAAGACATCAAGAAGCAATAATGACTCACAAGAACGGCACAAGGCATAATCTACCATCACACAGTAGATTAACACCCGACATGCATAACACAAGAGAATAAGGACACAACCATCGGCAACACATGCCTTTGTGACATCACACGTCACAAATAGAGAATCACACACAACAACGGCTACACAAGCCTTCGTGACATCACCCATCACGAATTGAGATGCCTTCCTTATGCCCGGTTCCAACCTTATGGCTACCCCCAACCTTATAGCTAGTTCCAACCTTTACCTCCAGGACCCCTGTACATCCAAGTCCAACCTTTTCCTTCCTGGGACCGTCGTCCCCCACCAACGACCACCAACAAGACCACCGATTCATAGTACACGAGGGTACCGATCACACACACGACAACACATGCCACCCAAGAATTATGGTGTGATAATCTAGGAGCTACATATATGAGTGCCAACCCAATCTTTCATGCGCGCACCAAGCATGTGGAGATTGATTATCATTTTGTTCGTGATCGAGTAGCTTCGGGCGATATTCAAGTCAACTTCATCTCCACAAAGGATCAACTTGCTGATATCTTCACCAAAGCTCTACCTGGACCTAGATTTTCTTCCTTAAGGGACAAGCTACAGGTTACTAGTATACATTGTGCTTGAGGGAGAGTATTAGGACTCTATGTATCTGAGTCTGTTTAGAACTTCTTATCCTTGTCACATTGTGACTCTCTACTTCTTATCCTTATCACACTGTGACTCTCTATTGTATATATTCACATCATCTGATCTCATTGAATCAAGTTATGTTAATACAATTCTATCAATTCTCATCCGGTCAGATGAAGCAATTCGGCAATCATGCATGGTGCAATATTATATGGTTGTGGTTTTTATTTTATTTTATTTTATATATACTGTTTTTGACGTTGTAATTTTTTGTTATTGTTGTGTGATAATTGTAGTGTTTGTTTGGTTTGTAATTCTTGTCAATTTGTTTGAAATGGAAAAATTCATTACAGCTATAATTGAAGATATGATGCATATCAGCATATGAAAGTTGTTAGCTTTGATAATGTGTTAAATTATACTTTACGTTAATAAAATTTGTAAATCTCTAAACAATATATATTCATTATTTTATTATGTTTATTCAATTTTCCACAACTAATCCAGAAAAGCATTTTAAATAAACAAAACCAGTGGAAGAAAAACACAACTACATAGGGTGCATGCGTGTATATATATATATATATATATATATATATATATATATATATATATATATATATAATATATATATATATATATATATTTTGAATGCTACTTGCTACTGACTCACATACTTTCTCTACTGAGCATAACCTTCCATATGAGAAAGGTTATGCTCAGTAGAGAAAGTATGTGAGTCAGTAGCAAGTAGCATTCAAAATATATATATATATATATATTATATATATATATATATATATATATATATATATATATATATATATATATATATATAATACGGTTCAATTTTATAATTATTGTAAAAATTTAAATTTTTAAATATTTATAAATAGAACCCCGCATTTGTTCTCTTATTTTCCTACAACTTCAATCGTTGATCTACCAAAATCGATGTATCATATTAATTTTTACTTTTTACGTTGAAGCATGTTCTCACCTCAACACTTTGTGACAAGATCATAGAATATTTTTGATAATATAATATAGCATTAAAGATAGAAATTTAAGACTTCTTTCATGATTCATAAGTCACCCAAAGATAAATCCTCATATAGGGTATTCCAGACCTTTATTAGAAAAATCAAATGAAAGACACTTTGGGCAAAATTATAACAAATAACAATAAAAATAATCTTAAATGCAAAATGATCAATATTTAGACTCTCATCACTAGTCAACTTAGAAATACCATATTGGAAAAAGATTTTGACTAGTTTTTATAAAACAGTTTTAATTTGGAAGAAAGATTTTTGGGTTGTTATATTCTACCCACCTTAAAAACAAGCTTCGTTCCCGAAACTTAGGCCGGGGTAGGGGAAATGAGCGTTTTGGATGGGATTTCAAAAACACAGATTTTATAAGTATTGATAGAGGGTCTGAAATCAGGAGAGGGTTGTGAATATTGGAAAACAACTCTAGTTTTGGAAGGAATACATGAGGGTTTTGAGAATAAGGATTGGGAATATCATGCAAGCATTCAAAATCCAAGCAGTACTAATATTCCATTTACTAAATGCAATTTTGCTAAAACTTTAGGAAATTTAAAGGATTGCCTCGAACCATAGTCCCTTGGTGCACCACCTTAATAACCAAGACTCAAACCTTGCCCCTGATGGTCCATCTCTGAAACAACCTTGATTCCAAATCTGGATCTAACACTTGTCATCCTTTGGTGAAGTTTGACTCCTTTTATCAAGTGTGGAGAATCCAATTCCACACTCATTAAAAACCCACAACCACACTTATTAACAAATATATAGGTAGGTAGTGGCCTAATAACTTGTAATTCATCCCATGGAACCTTCAATTTGGCAAAATAAGCACTTAC